ATGGTATAGAGAGACATCGATGGGCGATGTTGCAGCTACCTTGAACATGCATCAGCGGGACAGAAGACCACGATCCTCGAGGAAAGCGGCACCTTGCAGTTCCCCCCCCCCCCCCCCCCGAAAGGCGCGACAAGTCAGGGGGGGGGCGAGGAAGCCTGAGGAAGTGAGCGCTGAGAGATGCGAGTGTTTTGTGTTTTCCCAGGCAGGGGCCCCCCAGGGCGGACCTGTCATACCGAGTCCGAGTGGGCCCGGCAGCCCCCATCGAAATCCAGTTATCATGGATTTACGGGGAACCAAGGAGGACGATGATGGGGGCAGTGAGTTATGCGACGTGGACGCTGCGTTTGTGGGCGCGGGGGCTGGGGCGCCCAGGAGGACCTCGTGCGATGTGCAACCAAGCAACGTGGAGGGTAAGTTTCACGATGGGACTGAGCCGCCCGGTCGAAGCTTGCGCCCCCTCTGCTTTAGGGGGCAAGTCTGGGGGGCGGCGGGGGGGCCATGGGGGGAAATCATGGGCGCCAGGACTGGGTATACCAGTGATGTCAGTCGACTGAATGTGGTCGGTCAACTGGGGAGGATGGAGAGACGGCGAGGAAGCATGCACATATCCTGGAAATTGTGCAAACCTGGCGACCTGGCGCCAATTGAAATTCAACTACAGGCACGAGTCCGTGCTCAGCCAAGTTGTTTTGCGATATGATGTTAGTCGTTGGTCACCAAAGAGTGCTCGTCAAAAGCGATGGGGAGGCATCCATCACGGCGCTCCGAGAAGGCACTTACAGCCTCGCGCGATCTCAGCACAGGAGTGGAAGTTTGCCAGGTCGAGAACTCCCAAGCCAATGGCGAAGCCGAAAGGCCAATCGCGTCGGACCGTGCAACTTTGACATGCAGAGTGCTTTGGGCGACAAATCTAAGATTTAATTTGGCGAGTGGTGAGTGGCTTATGCATCTTCTCTCGTCGGCGAGATCGCGATGGAATCCGACGGCAAGGTGGCCCGCGGAAGGTGCCGTTGGCGGAAAGTCAAACATCCGATTACCGCGCTGGGCGCATGCGTCGCTGAACTGGAGACCGCCCCTTCACACGAGGAGGCAACGACCCCCAACCAGGGTGGGGGTGGGGGTGCGTCATTGGGAATAGATGGGAAAAAGCCAAGCTTTAATCGCGAGCGCTCCAGGGGGCGTCATCCAGTGTCCCGAGTGCAAGCGCACAGGGACCGATGCGGAGACATAGAAGTTTGATGAGGTTAACAGAATGGCGGGGATCCCCAGGCAAATGACAGAGTTCCCCTGGCAACCAGACCCAGTCGCGCTTGCAGCGGAAGGTGAATCCATAGCGATGTTATCGATGGCTGTGCCCAGACAAGGTCAAGCCGCAGATGCTTGGGCGCGAGTGGCCCGAGGGCGCGTTGCGAAGACGCGGGGGGCGCGCGGCCGCGGGGCTTGCGCCGGGGCGTCGCGGGCGCAAATCTCCAGCCAGAGAAGATGCAAACCGCGAGCCCCGCTGCGCAGAGCGTCGAGAGAGCGCCGTCGAATGCAAGGGCGGGGCGGCCCGAACATCTGCCCATCCATTGGAGACTAGCAGCAGCCCAGATGGAGATGGAGCCTAGCCGTTCCTAGCAGGGCCAGGATGGGGGGGCCCCCTGACAGGCAACTGAGATATTGTGGACGAGTTAATTTGACAGCATCGCGCGCCCAGAACAAGAATGCACCCGCCTAGAGACATGGTTTGTAGCGCTAGCGCGATTGCGCAATGAGAGACGAACGCGTGTAATTTCCGTGGAAGCCAGCGGCGTGGATGATGCAACCGGTGTTCGGGAAGGTGATTGCGACGTGGAGTCGCGCGGGCCGTGGGCGGGATGGGCCGGGTTCCGCGTCGCCCCCAGAGGTGGTGGTGATGCGCGACCGGGCAGAGTTACCCCGCCAAAATCGGCACTCGTAAAAAGACGGGCAGAGGAACATGGAGACGATGAGAGGACCAGGGCAGTTTGAGGCAGAATATGAGGACGAGGAGATGCAGCGAGGGAGTCCAGGATCCGGAGGAGGCGAGGAGCCATCGACGAGAACGTGGAAGGAAAATGCCCGAGCAGGAGAGCGAGGAACACGACAGCATTAACACTGATGAGGTACGCATCGGGTTAAACATGATGGGCGTTGACGCGGGCGCGGTGGACTGGATGTTCGGAGCCAACTTGGGCGACGTTGCGCGGGTGAGTGATATTCGGAGGAACGTTGGGCTATGCGGCAATCGGCGTGGCGTGCAGGTGCGCGCTACTGAGGCTCACTCGGCAGTCCGGGTTACTGGTTCGAAGGAACACATGGGACTCACGCCCAGGGTATTCATTGACCTAACTACTTGCGATGAGCAGGGGGGGGCCATGAGACTTTGACAGCGCGGTGACGCGTGCAAAACCGAAGACAGTATTCAGGAACAAAACAGCCTCGCTGCTAACATTGCGAGCAGCCTTCAGCATGTTAAATGCATGTGCTCGAACATCGTGCAATTAGAAAAGAAAAAAAGAGGGCAAGTCTTGACCACGGAGCTCAAAACTTCAAAGTTGCGTTGGAGAGATGTGGGGCTCCGAAAAATAGTGGGTTCTATGTTTTCTTTGAAGACCCTTCGGTTGCCTCAAGCTGGCCGCGTCGCCAATGAAGGAGATGTTAGAGCGCGACGATGCGCGGGCATGCGATGGCGAGTTGTGTTGTTCTGCCTTGGCGCAGGCGGCAATGGGGGCAGCGGGGTCATGATCAAACCCGAGCAGTCCAGGAATGAACGACCCCAGCGCCGAAAGAGCCCTCGGCGTGAAATGTATATTCCAGCGCTGGCGCACTGCGTTAACTGGAGGAGACAGGACGAGGCGTTCAGGAATGAAATCTGGACCGACTTTGGCGAGCTGTACTTTCGGGCGCAGTTGGCCAGATGGCGGCCGATGACCGGTCGGGGTGCCCTTGCAGAACCTGCGGTTTGGAAGTCATCTGGGGCGAGCAAGACGCGGGAGCGGTCGCGCGAGATATTGGGTCGGAACCAAATGAATGGAAATAGGCTCGCGTTCGCCTGGGCCGAAAAAATGAACGAGGCGCATCGCGCCTCGCGCTTCCATGAAATTCAGGGCCAGTCAGGTATTCGAGGACAGGGGGCAGTAATCCAAAGGAAGGGGGGGGGAGATGACCGGAGGAGGGGCGCGCAGCATCGCCCCCGAATTCAACTGCCGAGTTACCCGAGGCACTTAGCCTCGCCGCTGGATCTGCGGAGCGCGCCATTACCAGGGGCGGTTCAAATTCCCCCGGGCGCGCAAGGCACCCGGGGGCGTTGATGAGGCGCCATCGCTTGTCAGCGGCGACATATTCGCAGTTCATCGGGGACATGGAGACGCACGGGCCTGGGGCGATGTGTCTGGAAGTGAGCTCGATCCAGAATTCGCGCGGAAAGTTAGGGGGGAGGACTTGGGGCAATTTAGGAAGCATGAGGTTTGTGAACATGTAAAGGAGGAGGAATGCTGGTCGGCTATGTGCCAATCCCCAGTGGCATGGGGTGGACTGACATCAACCGGGGGGGCGAGACCAACCCCGCGTACCGACCCCGGCTGGTGGCGCAACAAGTTCAGTGCGAACCCTGGGGCAATGCGACGTTCAGCCGCGCCTCCATGTGAAGCCCCAAAAAGATGTCTTCCGCGGTCTTTATCGACGGAATGGGATATGACCGCGGGGGGTCGTGACATTGGATTCGTGCTCGGATGTATTGACGTTTGGCGGGCTTACTTTTACGCCGAGGGCACGCAGGACATATTCATGATGCTACCGCAAGGAGATCGCGACCCGCGCTTGCGCGGAAGATTGTAGAGCCCACGCGCGGCACCCGGGGCGCCGCCAGAAATTGGGGAGGCCGTTGCGTCGACGTCGCGCGCGGCATTGTTTTTTTTTCCGCCGAAAGACATCGCCATGTGTGTTTCACGGCAAGACGCGGCGACTTTGATTGACAGTGCGCGGAGGTGGTCTCATCTTATTGGGCATCGATGTTGGCACTAACTGGTCCGAAGGTAAAATGAAAAGGATCTTGCATGTTGAACTCCGAGGCAGGGTCGGACCAGGGCCAGAATATTCGAAGTTCATCCGGATTTCCAACCTACTTGCACAACGGGGCCGGGACGGGCCATGGCGCGAGGCAGACCAGAGATTTGCAGGGATGTTTGCGAAAGAGCTGGGCCTGGAGCAGCGCAGAGCGAGATGCGAGGTGGAAGGTGCGAAGGTGCCGCCCAGCCGCGAAGTTAGGGCAAACCAAGTTTGGGTGGCCAGAGTCAGGTATCTTGCACAGGATCGTTCAGATCCGCAGTATTCAGGCAAGGGGCTCGCGCGCTTCATGTCAGTTCCAGCCGGGGGGCATGGCAAGACCTGACCAAACTGGGCAAGCACTTGAAGAACCATGACACGTGTGGGCATCCGTATTTGTTTCAAGACAGCCCTCCAGAGTTAACCGCGTGGACCTGCGCCGGCTATGTCGCAGATGCAATAACGCGATATCGACATGTGGGGGGGCAGTTGCGTGGGGATCGCATGTGATCAAGTCGCGGAGTTCGGCTCAGAGCGTCGTGGCATCATCAGTTGGGGAATCTGAATACTATGGATTGGTGGAAGGTGGTCGGTAGCGTTAGGACGTCGAGCAGTTCAAATACATGTCCATGTTGCTTGCAGTATCGTGTTAAAGAGTGATGCTACTGCGGTGTTTGCCTTTGTGGGCTGGCGAGGACTAGTAACAGTCAAGACTTATCGAGGTGTGTCAGTTGTGGTCACAAGAGAATGTACGACGAGGAGACATCAATGTGATCAAAGTAGGGCGATCTGAGAGTCTTGCAGACGCTGTAACCCAATCGGTCAACAGGGACGATGTTTTGATGCACGTGTGACGTACCAGTCAGCACGTTGTTAGCGGGAGGCATGAGCTTGCCCGTCTACGAAAGTGTTAGCTTCATCCATCTATGTTTTATCACCGCGTGCCGTTTTTCCAGAGATTTGACATAAAGATCAGCGGATACCCAATATTTCACGAATGCGGCTCAAGATTTCAATGTCGACGATTTTCAACCTGATGCGTGACTTCCTGTTCTGCGGCGTTCGGAAATAAAGTATCGGGTATGCGGATGCCCCTTCACGTCGTCGCCCGAAGCATCATCGCATTCTTCTTGCACCAGGTATGCTTTAATCACTCCCTTATATGTCTTGTACTGCTCGGTTGGAATCCGGGCGTCTGCGCGCCGCTCATTTGCCAAATTTTGAACCGTTACCTTCGGGTGACGATGCGTAGTTTCGCATTGTGCATCGTTTGGCTTCTTACCTCTGATCCAGTCAGCTTGTGTGTTCTTCTCCTCCGTCGCTTCACCTGGCCAGAATTGGCCGCTAGGGGTGCTTGCACATAGCGTTACGACTGGGTTAGAAGGGCGCGCTTGTTCAGCACGCCTTGAGTAGCAGTTCGCAGGGAAGTGTCTGGCAAAGCCTTGTGTCATATTGTTTGCTCGTGAAAAAAAGGTCCTTTCCAGGTTTTTCAGGAGAACGGGCGAGGAGGGGATGAGGGAGGAGGGGGGGCCGGAAGGAGGAAGGGACAAGGAAGAGCGGGCGAGCAGCATAAGGGGGGAGGAGGGGTTGTTGAGCAGGCAGGAGGTTGGAGGTGGCGGCGAGGTATGTTGTAGACCTCCGCGGCTGGAGGGCCATGGGGTTCACAGCTGGAAACCTGTGACAACAGAAGCTCTGGCGAACAGCCGCCATGGCATTTTTCCTCCTCCTCCTCCTTCTCCTCCTCCTCTTTATTGTCCTTCTCTTTTTCACCCTCTCCCCCCAGATATCTCATGGAGCGCGTTCGTACAACGATCCCGAGGCTGGCTGTTCCAGCCGTGGCGACGAGGCTCTCACCCGGATGCCCAAACAGGCGACCACGGTCAGGAATGTTTGATTTGTGTGTGGTTCCGCCGGTTGTGGCCCACCACGGTTCGGCGCGACCTAGTATCAACGTCCCGAGCCTTTCCGAGCCTCCCGCCGCGCGGGCTCGAAAGACACGCTACCCATTCGTGAGGCATAGCGTGTCGTTTGGGCCGCCGCCGCGACACGCTATCTAAGAGTTCCCGACCGTGGGGTGCACAGACAGCCTTCCATCCCTCCACCCTCGGCCTGCATCCTCCGCGGGGCGCTGCCGCAGCCTCCTGATGGACGTGCCTCACAGCCTTTTAGAAGGGCACCCGCGCGGAAATCTCTGGCCTTGGAGCCGGGCCCATCGGGCCGCGCCCGCGGCGTGGCGGATGCCCAGAACTCCCGGAAGCAGTGGCGAGGCGTCCTGATTTGCTTGTAGGCCCACCAGAGAATGTTCTAAGGACCTCGGGTGGCTTACACGAAATACTCTTAGAGCACTTCTGGCTGAGGCCGTTATGTTTTCATACACCCGCTCTATGTTCTAAATGCATGGTTCTCTTGTTAGAACGTCCCTTGGTTCTAAGAACATGGCGTGGTAGGATGTGGTAGGCCATAGGACTGCTGGAACGGTCGGTCCCTGCTCACGTGGCGGATACCCAAGCTTCCTGCCCTGATGAGATCCGACGTTGCGAAAAAAAACAATATCGCGATAAATCGCGACCGGAGACCTTCACTTCATCTTTCTGCGGCACCTTTCGAGCTTGATCGATCTGCCAGGGCCCCGGGGCCCGAAACATGGCAGCATCGCCCGCTGCGATAAAACATGGCGAAGCGGTCTGGGCCGCAGCGAACGGACGAGTCTGCCGTCGCTCTGAGGGGTCTGTGTCAGAGCGAGCGATCGAGATAGGTGTGTTGCGAGGCGTGGGGGCATCCAGGAGGGTCCGACACGGAGTGGACGGGTGAAGCGCAGGGAACGTCGGTGCGACCGACATGGGTTCAGAAAGAACTGCGGGCACGAAGACTGGCAGCTGTTCTCGTTCAGCTTGAACAGGGCTCAGTGTCGGTGTGGCCGCGGACGTGGCCCATTTGAGACACATGCTTGCCAGCGTGGAACCCAAACAGTGAGATGCTGCACTGTGGATGTGCAAGCTATGTGGTGTGATCTGTGATTTGAAATGTGATATATGTGGTGCGAGCTGTGCGGTGTAAACTCTGTTGTGTAAGTTACGTGGTACGATATATGTTCTGCAAGCTACGTGGTTTAAAGTTCTATGTGGTGCCGATGCATGTGGTGTAAGCCATGCGGTGCAATGCATGCTGTGCGGGGGCCACGGCCGGCAACGTGGACAAACTTCGGCGAACCCAGCCAGCGCACAAGGTAGCCACGAGGCGGCCACGGGCGGCAACGTGGCGATGCCTCGCTGGACCCACCCGGCGCACGAGGCGGCCACGAGACGGCCACGGGCGGCAACCTGGCGAAACGAAACCTCGACGGACCCACCCATTTCACGGGGCACCCACGAGGCGCCCGCGAGGCGGAACTGTGGAACATCTTCGCCAGGCCCTCCCAACGACTTGGTGAGACAGGCTGGGCCCCCCATGCGCAAGTACTGCTTGTGGAGACATTGCCCGCCCAACAGCGGCCGCTGCTGGTTTGGAGCCACCTTTGCTGTTGGACATCGCGCGCATTTGTCCGTAACCATTTCGGGCGTGCCAAGAAAATTGGGTGTGACGCAGGGTGGTCAGAGACAGGGAGCAGCTGCCGCCGTGGGCAGAGCGGTGCCAGTCTCCAGGAGGTCTCGCGCGAGAGCGCGAAGGTGGCACCGAGCTCCGCGCCGACTGGGCGTGCGGGGCGCAGCGCGAGGCCAGGCGACCACGGGCGCATGGATTTGCGTCAGATTGCGAGCCGCATCCCCACAGGTTCAACCGACGCCGGGGTGTCGGACACCCCCGCTGGGGTCCACTTGGCGACAGACAGCCTTCGACTTCCGAACCCTGGCCGGCGCTTCGGAGATCTGACCTGCAGGGGCAGGGTTCGCATGTGGTTGCCCAGTGGGGCCGAGCAGCGGCAACGCGTCGACTTCCGGACCGGGTCCGCCTCGGGTGACTCGGAGGCTCGAGCTCTCGGAGCTCCTCGGGGGCTATGGCCTGTGCAGGCAGTCTCAGCGCGGCGGGGTGGACTTCGAGACTGCAGCGCTGCTGCCCCGATGAGCCCTCTGCGGTCCGGTCACACTGTGGCCCGGGAGCAGGCAGAGGATGGAGTTTGCCACGAAGCAGTCGCTCCTCAGGAGAACGTCTTTGGGCCCCTGGGATCCCCCCCTGGGCCCCAGAATCGTCGCAAACCGACTCAGGTTGAAGAATCGGTCCAGAGGGGAAGCCCCAAGATCCAGGAACCGTCTCGCTCAGGGCCCCCACTTTCTTCATGCCAAGGAGTGCTTATCCACAGAAGGCGTCCATACACCACCACCACCACCAGGTCTGACCAGGGCCCTCCCGGGCCCTCCGTTTGGTGCATGCGTAGGCCCTCCTGGGCTTGACCACAATGGCCCATACACCATGCCAGGGCCCATGATGGTCCTGGGCAGGCATGGTGGCGCTTTCCGTGTGTACTTATGCGGCGGTGCCCGTGGCTCAAGTACCTGAATTGTTTACAAGCTAGTCATCGGGCCATCCTTGCTTACTTGATCGCTATGGCCGGTTGGGCACAGCAGTGGGCGGAGACTGTGGCCCCCATTCGTAGCGACTTGGGCTACGAGAACTCGGCCGAGCAGCTCCGCAGGATTGCCAAGACGCAGCTCCTCAAACTGACAGATATCCAGAGGAACCCGCAGCGTTTCTTTGAGGCACACCGGCTGCTGGCCCAACATGCCACACGTCTTGGCCCGGGTTTTTGGATCCGATTCACGGTTCACTACAACCTCTGTTTTGGCTCCGTCGTGGCGGTTGGCGACGACTCGCAGATCGCGCAGATGGAGGACTTCGAGAAGAAGGGGCTCCTGGGCTGCTTTGCTCTGACTGAGAAGCTGGCTGGCGTCAACAGCGGCATGATCGTGCAGACCGTGGCCGACTGGGACGACGCTGCCAAGGAGTTTGTCATCGACTCTCCCACCGAGGGGTCCCACAAGAATTGGATCTCGCAGGGTCTCGTCGCTGACCTTGCTCTCGTCGTGGCGGACCTCAGGGTGCAGGGCAAGAGCCACGGGCCCCATGCCTTCTTGGTAGAGTTCCGCAGAGACGGGAAGGTCGTGCCTGGCATTGAGCTCGGCGACATGGGCGTGAAAACTGTCGGGAATGATTTGGACAACGCGTGGATTGCATTCCACAAGCTGCGAGTTCCTCACAGCTGCCTCCTCCGGCGCTACGCAGATGTTGAGCCTGGCAACGGCGGAAAGTACGTGAGCACCGCCAAAGGCTTCACCAACATGATGATGATTGGCCAGCGGCTCTTCACAGGCCGTGTGGCGGTGGCGCAGGCAGCACTGACGTTCACCAGGCGCCTCTACGATAGCACGCGCAGCTACTCGGACAGCAAGGTGGTCTGGGGCCCGAAGGGCAACGCCTCGTTGACCGACATCCCTCAGTTGAACGCCCTCTTCAAGCACGCTGAAAAGAAGCTGGAGAGCCTGAATGGCTTCGTCGGGGAGTGTGAGAAGCGTCTATCCGTGCACCTTGCCAATGGCACGGTCGCGCCCCTTGATCTCCAGGATGCGATCGCTTGTGCGAAGATCGCAGCGTCTGAGAGCTGCATCGATCTCTGCTTCCGGCTAAAGCAGGACGTAGGCTCTTTTGCGCTTATGGGGGGTACTGGCTTTGGCGAGATGGACTTCTTGCAAGCCTGCAAGTTTGCGGAGGGCGACTCGCGAATCTTGATGCAGAAGCTGGCAAGAGACCGCCTCAGGGCCAAGAAGCCTGTCGGCTCCGACGGCGAGCAAGTCCTGGCCAAGGAGCTCCAAGCGATTGCTTCGCAGGGGCAGAAGGCCTGGGATGATAATTTTGAGAAGGTGTATGACCTGGCTTGGACGGTGGTCACCCGCATCGTTGATGAACTAGCTCCAGGAACTCACCTCAGTCTACCTGCTGGACTGTCGAAACTCTGAGCACCCGTCCCTTTTGAAGATGCTCTAGACTCCTTGCAAGCTTTGTTGAATACATTCAGGCGTACTTCCAGTTAAGTCTCCTCCTCCTACTCCATATCTCTCCGAGCCTCTGCTTTCTCTCCTCCTCCTCCTCCTCCTCCTGTTCCTCTGAAGCGGACCAGCACTTGGCATAGGCCAGTGATCGCGCCCAGCTCTGTGGCGGCACCTCGTCGGTGCAAGACCGTAGGCCGTGTTCCATGTTCCGAAGTGATCGTGTTCCGAAGTGATCGTGATCAGCAAAACCGCGGTCATGCCAGGGTGCCCTCTGCTTCCATGGTCCTCCGGTCAATCCTTGGACAGCTTCGGAGGTCCAGAGGGTCCTGCATGGACCTCAGGATTTTGCATCCCCATCTCCCAGGCAGACCCTGGCCGTCATGATCTGTTCACAACGTGGTCCCCCCCAGAGGTCTGGGCCCCCCTCCCCGGGACCAATTCCTCATCCCGAGCTGTTTTTGTTGACGGTGCCGGGGCCCGGCGAGGGCCCCATGAGGCCGAAAACGTCCAGAAGCCTTCCGTTGCGATGTTCCAGGCCTCCCAGATGGGGTTGGAGCGGATGGGGTCGGAGGATCCCACCGCATCGCCGATGCATCGCCGACAGATCGGCGATGCGCCGCGATTCTCCGAGCCCATCTGCTCCGACCCCACCCCGGGGGGGGGGCCTCTGGACGCCTCCACGACGCGAGGGATCTCACCTTCTGCATCCTCCTGCTCGCTGCTCGCTCGGCGCCCTCCGCGGGCGGGGGCCCCTCTCCCGCGGGGCGGGCGGCGCGCCGCCCCGCGAGCGGCCGCACCGGTGGCAGCACCGCCCGCACCCGGCGGGAGGCGGGGGGAGCCGGGAGGCGGGCCGCGGGCGAGGGTCGGGAGAGGGGCTCCCTGCGCGCCTCTGGCACTTTGTGGTGCCGGGAGCTCCTGGCGTCAGCAATTCTTTTCGCGCTGGGCGTGTTTCCGCCCGGTTCCCCGGGACCCTCCTGGACGGATCCGGCTCTCCATATGGCGCCGAAAGATGGGGTCCGGTCGTGATTTTGGCGGTGTTGTAGTGTTTCGCAATGTCGGATCCGAGTGTCGGCCCCCCATCTTCATGTCATGTTTACGCGGTGGTTCATGGAGCTGAGACGTGTGGTGGCTTTCATCGTTTGTGAACTCGTCATTGCCATTCTCGCGGCTTCATAAGCGAATGCTTATCGGGCGTTGAGGGAACGCCCATCCACACAAGACGCCTGAGGAAATCTGCACCAGCTCTGTCAACACATTGGCATCCGAGCGTGCTGGTGCAATCCCCGGTCGATTTCGCTAATCGACGTGTGTTCTTCCGGGTACATTCGCTCGAGTTGTTTTTTCCCGACGCCGATTAGCTATCCCGCCCAGGTCCATTGGGAATGCGTTGCCGTGCGCATGTGGTTTGCCTTCGTAAGTTGTCAATCATGTTTTTTTTTGCTGAAGGGCATTTGGTCAACTGTCGAGTATACACAACGTCGTTTGGTCGGCCAAGGAGCCAAGGAGTTCGGCGAAGGAGCTCTTTGGATAGGCGCTCTGTCGTCCCACACGTTGGGAAGCTGGAGCGTCTATACACAGCGCTCCCTGGCCGACCAGACCAGACGATTCGGTGTATACCTCGAGTCACTCCCAGGAGGGCAGAGAGGGCGGAGGAAGGGGCAGGAACAGGGGCACGACAGGGAGGAGTTGCACAGGGCTCGCGATCTTAGTACGTTTCTGGGGCATGTGCGGGCGGTTTTGGCTCGACATGTGCGCGCGTTGTATGGGTAATGTAGGATGACGATTTATCAATTACTGGGGGTTCTGTTGCGTCGGCGGCGCCCCGGAGGATGATTAGAGAAAAAACGGCAGCGGGCTTTAATTGCCCGTAACATATGAAGCCGACGTGAAATTGAGTTTGTTTGTAAAGCTTACAGTCGACGTGGATGGTGTTTTGACGTAACATTTGAATCCGACGTCGAATAAACATTCGACAAAATGCCTAAAGCCAACGTGGAACGAGTATTTGAAGTAAAAGTTGGAAGCCGACGTAGAATTGGTATTTGACGTGCAATATGAAGTCGACGTCGAATGATTATTTAACGTTGAATTTGACGAAGACGTGAAATGAGCATTCGACACAAGATACGAAGCCGACGTGTAATAGACATTTGTTAATCGTCCTCCTCCGGTTGACAACTATTGATTTAACCGGTCCCCTTGAAGTTTTATTAATCGTCATCCTGCATGATGTGCAGTATGTGCATATATGTTTGAGATCGGAGCGTTTTTATCTAATCACGTGTGCAGCCATGTGCGGGGGCATGTGTTCTGAGTTATTCCACCATTGTTTTGGTTTGGCCCCCGCCCTTGAGCGTTCTCTGCGACTTGCGGCATGTGCGTGGCGTGCGCGGGATCGCTTTGTGCAGTCTGTAGGAGCAGCGTTATATACATCGGGCGATACAGCATGTGCCCACACCGCAGCTTCATGCCCTGGCGCTGCCCGCGCACGCCCGCACATGGCGTCGCACACGCCTGCAGAAGGCACCGTTCGTGGCCGCGCGGCTACACAAGGCCGCGCGCGGCCGCACATGTAGGTGGCCACATGCGAACCCTACCCCTAACCCCCACGATTTCTGAGGGGGAGGGTGGGGTTCACTTCACTATGGAGCTCCCGAACGAGGTGAACCCCACCCTCCCCCTCAGAAATCGTGGGGGGCAGGGGTAGGCTAGGGGTTCGCATCTGGCCCCCTAACATGCCCGCACAGCTCTGCACAGCAGGCCGCACATGCCCCCCCCCCCCCCCTGCCTCTGCCCTCCCGCGCATGGCCGCACACCCTGCAGCGGTCGACCGCACATGACCCGCACATGGCGCCGCTCGTGGCCGCGAGGGGGGTGCGCGGCCACGCGCGGCCGCGCCGTCTTGCGCAGCGCCGCAACGGGGAAAATGAGGGGGAGGAGGGGAAGAGGAGAAGGAGGAGGAGGAGGAGGAGGAGGAGGAGGAGGAGGAGGAGAGGAGGAGGAGGGGAGGGGAGGAGGAGGAGGAAGAGGAAGAGGAAGAGGAAAGGAATATGAACATGAAAAGGATAACGAGGAGGACAGGAGGAGGAGGAGGAGAGGAGGAGGAGGAGGAGGAGGAGGGAGGAGGAGGGGAGGCGGAGTAGGTGGAGGAGGAGGAGGAGGAGGAGGATGGGGGGGGGAAGGGCGGCGTCCGACGGTCTCTTACGATTTCAGATCGTCAGCGTTCGTCCGCTCGTGAGGAGGAGGTGGAGGAGGAGGAGGAGGAGGAGGAGGAGGAGGAAGAGGTGGAGGTTGAGGAGGAGGAGTTGGAGGGGAAGGGGGAAGAGGATCAGGAGGAGGATTGCTCGTTTTAAGAAGTGGCGTGTCCTGCCCGTTGGGCGATGTCAGCCGCCTGGCGGAGACTCTACAAACCATCTTCTCTTTTCTCCGAGGGCCCCCGTGACTCCCAGCCTTTCCGTTCCTCCCAGTCCTGATGGTGCGCCGCGACGTGTGCAAATATTGTACTGGCGCGTGCCAGACATGTGCTTGGCGCGCGCGGGGCCAGGATTTCTGGGCCGCGCCCGCGGGCCCCAAATGGCACGCCATTGACTTGCTCTCTCGCCCGTGGTAGCAGTTAGCCTGTACGGGCTGTCCAGTTTGCCTGGGAGGGCGTTTCTGCAACCTTTGTTTGTGCGGAAGTGCGGCGTACTGCGGCCATGCGCGGGCACGGCGGGGCTTCCCTGGCCAGCGACCTCGTTGGCATGGACCATGGAGGCGCGTTGCATGTGCGGGCATGTGCGGGGAGGCGGCGGCGTCAACGTTGCCCCGAACAGATGCGCACAGGTGGAAGTGCACGCAGTGCGTGGCATCTGCGCAGGGAAAACGCATAACAAACAATGCACACAAAACGAAAGACCATTCGAAGAACAAGCCCTGTGTATTCACAAGGTTGAAGGAAGATGAAGCGGACGAGGAGTTGGAGGGAGAGGAGGAGGAAGAGGAGGGACGGGAGGAGGAGGAGGAGCACGATGCGGAGGAGGAGGAAGAGGAGGACGAAGAGGGCGATGAGGGGGAGGATGAGGCGGAAGAGGAGTAGGAGGAGGACGAGGAGGCGGGAGGAGGAGGAGGAGGAGGAGGATGAGGAGGAGAAGGAGGAGGATGAGGAACGGAGGATGCTGATGCTGATGATGCTGCTGCTGATGATAATGATGTTGATGATGGTGCTGATGCTGATGATGATGATGCTGATGATGCTGATGATGATGATGATGATGATGACGATGCTGATGATGGTGATGATGATGATGCTGACGATGATGATGTTGATGATGATGATGATGATGATGATGATGATGATGATGATGATGATGATGATGATGATGATGATGATGATGATGATGATGATGATATTGATGTTGATGATGATGATGATGATGATGATGATGATGATGA